ATCGAAAAAAATTAATTTTATAATTTTTGGATTGTTTTATTGCTTGAGCGAACAATTTTCGATAGAAAATAGCTCATTTTTAGCCAATTTTTTTGGGATTTTTGAATTTTTGTGTGTAAATCACTAAATTGTGATTGTTTCCTTCATTCAATGATCTATAAAATTATGAAAAAATGAGAAAAAATTCAATTACCACGAAAATTGAGAAAAATTGAGGAAAATTGGGAAAAAAGGGAAAATTGGGGAAAACCGAAGGAATATTGAGAAACAGAAGAAAATGAAATAGAATTGAGAAGAACAGCAATTGAGAAAAATTGGTAGAGGAAAGTATCGACTGAGTTTTAAAACATAAATTAAGCATTAAAGTCCTGTGTTTGTAAAACTTGTCAAGATTATTTTACAGTTCTTCGTTGTATCCTTTCCTGAAGTTTCGGGACTCAAAAATTCAAAAAAAAACTAATGAATTTCAGCACAGAACAATTTCCACAATTTTTTTTCATGATGAGGGAAAAATATGACACAAAATCAAATAGAACAATGTGACAATGAGAAGTGAAAATTTTCTGTCGTAATTTTTAAAAATTCAAAAATATTGAGATTCTGAAGTTCTGCGATTTCGAAATTGTGAAATTCTAACATTCTGAAATTCTCAGACTCTGAAGTTCCGAAATTCTCAGATTCCGAAATACTGAAATTTCAAATGTTCTGAAATTCTAAGAATTCTGAGATTTTCAAGCACTGAAATTCAGGAATTCAGAGACTCCCTCAAAAAGAACTGTACCCCCGAATCACAAGCGTTGTACCCCTGAATGAAATGAGTTGTACCCCGAATTTTTGGCAGAAATTCTACCCAGTTGACCCTCCGAAATAACACCATTGATAGTCTGTAATTGTGTTTGCTTTCCTCAAAAAACTACGAAAAAGAAGTAAAAACAAAAATTCATCATGTTCAGAATCATATACTCAAATTGGTCTCAATGACCCCTATGAGACTATCAATGCCCCCTGGGAGCATTTGGTCCGATGCCCCCTATGAGACATGGTGGGATGCCCCCTAAGAGACAACTTCAGGATGCTCCCTATGAGTTAGTGACCCCTAAGAGTGTATGCCCCCTTTGAGCACGATGCCTCCTATTTCGATGCCCCCTGAGAGTATGGGCCTATAAATATCTACTGTAAACTCTAATAAAATGATCCCATTGCTTTTAATTTTGAGCTATTTTATTTCGGTTCCTGTGAAGGATATCAAAAAGTGGTCAACTGACAAAACGTTTTCAATTATATTATAAACACTTTGTCAGTTAGCCACTTTTCGAGACCTTTCACAAAAATCAAGATAAATAGGCTCAAAGTTGAAAGTTAGGGAGCCCTTCTAATACAGGCTTTACGGTATATGGATTTTATGTATTATCTTGAAATTTATTTCATGACTATGTTTCACACTACAAAAGGATTACTGTAGTTATATTTCTCATTTTTCAAAATCAAATTTAAAACTCACAATATCAGCTGGACACTGTGGGTCAAATGAAGCTGGAAGGCTTTTCATGTACTCTTGAGCTGCTTTTACAGTACTCTCCTCGACAACAGTTTTGCATTTATCACATGCAATATTCATTGGCTCCTCAGTTTCGGATGTCAGCTGGAACATACTTTGTCAGGAAAGAACACTTATTTGAAGCTTACAATTGGAGCATCACATGCCGGATTAGCACATTTGATAGCAGTCAACGAGTCATCCTCTGGATCCATACATCTCGTGCATTCACAATCGAAGTACCATCTTGATTTGAGATCTCTTCTCCTTACAAATTTACTTCTTCCAACATCAATGTATGAAATGAACGCTTGCTCAGTGTTTTCAGCATCAACACCTGGAACCAGAGGACGAAGACAGACACGGTATCCATCGAAAACCATCGAACAAGTTGGACGACACGAGTGATTGTATTTCGATACACCCAAATCCAAAGCCATTCCAACTTCATTTCCGGCATTTGTATGAATACTGTGCGAGTTGATGGATGCTTTACAGAAAACATCGAAAAAATGTCCTTTCTCAATCATATCATCCTTACGGAAATTTCCCATTTTCACAAAGATTTTCTCAAAATGTTTCATCTTTTCTTCGTCTTCTCTGAAACTCGAAATTTATGAAAGACTTTGAGACTTTCATTGCTAACCTGATATCTTTTTTATGGTCAACCAAACTCGAAAACGTTCTCTCTGCTTCCACTCCCAATTTATCTCCATTCTTCTCGAGAAATTGAATACGATCAATTACTTTCGAAAGGAAAAGAACCTCGGTGAGTGGAAGATTCGGGAAACTCTGTAGTTGAAAAAAAAGATAGAATCTTTGTACCTAGGAATATAATTATACCGCTTTCAATCTTTTACACTCTGGTTTATGAACCAGCCAGGCAATTGCTTGGCAGTCTTTGCTACAGTACATTGAGAAGTTACATCTAGAATACGAATTTTGGATTTATTTGACTGATAATGAAGAACTTTTACCCTCCACACCGAAGAAGTTTTTCTCCAGGAGCAGGTCCGCGAAGACAGTTGGCACAGAATTCATTCGCTTTTGGATTCAACACTTGAGTGGCAAACGGTGTCTCGAAAATCTAAAAATGTACGAATTTTACCATTCTGGTGATGAAAGATTGGATCTGTGGAAGAGGTTGTCGTGTCCGAAGTCCCCACAACGACAACTACCGCAACCTGAACATTTTTCTAATTTTCGAAGTTTTTTTTCTAGATTTTCATGCGTTTTCCTCTAATATTCAACTTTCTTTTTTTCTATTCTCCGACATGTTAAATAGCAAAAAAATTGACGAAAATCAGTAAAAAACGAGAAAATAAAAAGACTTTTAGGTTACGGTAGTTTTCGTTGTGGGACCTTCGGCATCACTTTGTAATAACATACCAAAACAATGACTATTTTGTCATGAGAAAATTCTGCAAACGATTTACCTTAATTCTGGCATGAATAGATGAGATATCATCCTTCTGTACTAATGGATCCTCATTCTCATTCTTTGCAACGTTTTTGTTCTTTTTCACAGCCATTTTTAGTGGAATCAAGAAAAGAAATTTTTTGGAATAGTAAAGATTTTTCGAGGAGAAACAGGAAAGATGAGGAGAGAAACGGGAGGAGAAAGCCGATGGAGGATGAGTGTAATCACGGCAAATATTACACACCGAGGGGCTCTTGGTACTCCTCAAATTCTCTCGGTGCTCCGAGAGCTTTCTGGCAACATGTTCCGTGTATTTTAACTCTCATGACAAATGAAGTCTACTTTTGACTGTATTGATGTCTAAAATGTGTTGAAGATCTTCACTATTCACATTCTGGATCTATTGTAATTTTCATAACTGTCTTTTCTTTCTGTTGTTGTGAAAAAAGTGAAAAAGCAAATAATTGAAATATCTCAATTTTTATCGGGGACAGCCCTCAGGAGATGGAAAAGCACATTGAGATAAAAAGGCATGGTGGATATAGTTCACACAGTTGATTACGTGTTATTAAAGGGTGGATGGGTTGGGTACAACTGGGTTGGAAGTTTGTTAGGAAAAGCTTATATAAATGGCGTAGCTATAATAGATGTAATGTTTACAGACATGTGAAAACAGTCAGTTGGTTACAAAGAGAAATTAATTAAATGGGGGGTAAAGCTCAGACGGAATGCCCGTATTCGTCAAAACAAGAATCAATGGAAACCGTTATTGGATGAAAGTGAAAAATAGGGATATGGTTGGAGAAGTTAGCCGGTTGATTTATCAATGGCCATGAAAAATTAAAAGAATGGGCCTTTTCGCACATTGGACATTTGCTGCAGCATGTCTGATCCTGCTCGGTCGAGTTGAGTGAACCACAAGCGTGGGCAGCTGAAAACGGGTAATTACTCGTCACTATGCACATAATTAAACTTACGTGACTCTTCCTTGAGAATCGTAGAGTGAGTGCCAGTGCCATGGCCCATCACAAGAGATAACTGGATCCAGACTGGAAACCTGGTGGCACAGTTTCACGTAAGATTCCCAGCAAAACTGACAGCGAACACGGTCGGCTGGAGACATTGTGACCGATGGTTGCAGTGGCTGAGACACTGTGTTAGTGGCGTAGGTTGTCGGCATGTAGTCGATGTATCCATTCGATCTCTTGACAAACGAATAATCAGCGAATGATGACTGAAAGAATTTGACTGTTATTAGATTTTCATCATTACCACATACCGGCAAAGTACTCTTGGTTTGTGGTGCTGCGAGCTGTCTCATTGATCCTCCATGTTGGCTCGGACCACTGATCTGGCTCAAATTAGCACGTGAAGTGCTCGTGGAGGGTTGAGCTGGTTGCTTGTACCGAGATTCAGGAAGAAGGAACATGTCCAAATCGACATCAACTGATGGGTCCATGATATCGTGGATTTTGCTGTCGTTGTCCGATATGGATAATCCAGCGAGCATGTTCTCAGAAGATGAAGCAGAGGAGAAGCCAGAAGATGGCGTTCTCATCAGCGGAGCTCCAGCAACTGTCACCTTGCGAGAATGGTGGTGGTGGGATGGGCGATCGAAAGCATGATAAACCTGCTGTTGTGGTATCATTGGGCGGACTCTCTTGTCCTTTTCGATGTAAGTCAGGTGTGTCGTCTGAATATGCTTGTTATTCGTCTGTGAGACTCCAACGCTCAAATTATTTGATGAAGCTGATGGACGATTGTTCGGAATCAATGGTTTAACTTGAGAACGAAGTTGAAGCAACTGAAACAAAACACACTTCATATTTAATTAAAAATAAATTCGGGACATTTTGGGCGATTAATACTTACAGCAACACTTAGATCTGATAATATGACTCAAGCTTTTCGAATTAGAATCATTTTACCTACACCGGAGAAGCCAAGTAATTTTCAAGAGATAATCCAACAAACCTGTTTAGGTGCCTCGTATTGAGATTTTGAAACAGCAGTGTTGCTTATTGGACAGTTGTTCTTCTGAAAAATAATATATATCATGAAAACGAGATAAAAGTGAAGCTATTGGGAGGCCGAGAACCAATTTAAAACTGAAAGTTATAAATTGAACTTGATTCGATAATAACAGGATAGAGAGGATGATTGCAATGGATAAGGGGGATTTGTGAAAGCAATACACTTACATGATGAGACTGATATTGGAGAAAAGTCGACGCCATTGTTTCGCGCGCACCTCTTGACACAAAATAATTTGTGAATGAATGAAAAAAAACATCGTGTTTTTTCTAATTGGCAACTTTCCCAGAAAAACGCGTGGGAAAATGGCGATTTTCCCACGATGGGTCATGGGAAAGTGCGGTAGAGCGCGGCGCCACCTAATTTCCGCGCGAATTCAAAAGATTTATCGCTTTGAAATACCGTACCATTCGTTTGGTGAAATTTGGTTCTATTGAATTTACGATTTACGTATTTAGGAATCGGAGATGTCAATGAGTTTTTCGAAAAACTGAATCCGAAAATAAAATAATTATCTCGGAATTCGGAACACAGAACTGAAAAAGGTGCGGAATCGAAAAACGGAACCCGAAAAAAACTGTCCCGAAATCCCGAATGAAATTCATATTTCGAAATCCGGAACGGAAAAAAAACGCGGAATCCGGATATTTCCTGTGTGCAGAAAATTCTAAAAAATACATGATTTTTTTGTATCGTTAGTCGTTAGAAGTTTAAAAATGAAAATCCGGAATAAAAAATGTTTTTATCGGAACCGGAATCCGGAAATTTCTGATGTGAATGCAGGTAAATATACATCAATAGAAAACAACATCTAGAAGCTACTAAACAATTCTTCAGAAAAGTTTACCAAAGTAGAGTTTCATTGAGAACGTCTAATCGGCGACGCTAATCTCGTCGGGGAATATGAAATAGAAGAAATGCAAAAATAAATGGAGTAATTAGGTTGACTAAATAAAACGATAAAAAACTACAGCGATGGTCAGAAAGAAACGACAGGTAGAAGATGAATGTAGACCTCCTATTTGGGAGAAAATGAAAACTAACGGAATGAGTCATTGTCATTTGTCACATTAAAGTGTTTTTCGGAAAGAGATATACGAAAAATGGAACAATTTTGGATTCAACATATCAGAAAAACGCCGAAGACAAGCCAGCTACACGGAAATATGGGTTAGAATGAACATAATTACATTGCAAGTTATAAACCGATTAATAGGTGAAATTAATGATGTCGTCGGGAGTTGGAAACCATAGAAAGAATATTAAAAGTAATCAGAGTGCATACTATTGTGAAGTTTTTCTTATCTACACATTCTTGAACAAACGGAATAGTGAGAGCGAGTTTGGTGATTGACTGACAGGTTCTAGGTGTTCCGGAGTTAATTCGACTTTATTGAGTTTCAAATTTTTAATCTTTGTGTTGTAAAGATCCCAGAAACTTTAGAATTAGTGCTAGAGTTTATTATGTTCAGAACACATGAATCCTAAAATACACAATGAACCTCTTGATGTTTCGAGGTTACAGGTTCTTCTTTTCTTTAAATACACACCCACAAAAACCTGCCATGTGTGTTAAAGTTTCTAAGAGGAACGTAAACAATTTGACAAATATTATAGGAAAAGAACTCACTAATACAAGTTTTCTAGAACATCTCAAAAAAGCCAACAAAACAGATAAGAAGGCAAAGCCTGGAGGGCCCCACACTGTCAAGTTTGAGCTCATATATCGCGGCTCCTATAAAAGATATCAAACTTGTGTCAACTGATAAAATGTTTGAGATATCATCATAAACAATTTATCAGTTGACAACTTTTTGATATCTTCCACAGGAACTGAGAAAAATTGGCTCAAATATAAAAAAAGTTGGGCCCGTCTGTTATAGGTTTTACGGTAAAAGAAATGGGAACGATGGTGGAAAGTGAAAAAAAAACAGATAGGTCTTATAAATTTGGAAAAAAAGTAAAAAATCATCGGAGACTTTTCTGAAGATTGGTATTCCATCTCGGAGAAGATAAAAAACGGAAAAGTGGATGAAACGATAAAGTTACGTAAATGGACAGGATGGTATAACGGGCCAGATAGAGAAAAGAAGTGGAGATGAATCACCAAAAAGAACAACCGCCTACTCTTCTTCTTCCTTTCTTTTTTCTTAACCCGTTATGGTTCTGTTTGCTGCCCTGCCACGACTCACAGCCACAAAGCGAGCAGAAAAAAGAACAAGAGAGAGGTAGAGAGAGGAAGAGGTCAGCACACAGAGAGAAAAAAGAAGGACAGTGTTCTTCTTCTTCTTCCTCTTCTTCTACTGCTTCCCACTTCTCGCGCATCGTATCTGCACATTCTCTTCTCCGTGTGATATATTTGTCTCTAATGTCTCTTTTTTCCTCTTCATAAGGACAGACAGGACACCTCGAGCCATGTTATGGTAGAGGGTGACCTCGAGAAAATAGAGGAAGAGGAGAACGACGTGTCACCTCACTCTTCCGCGCGGTAAAAGCAACATTTGGTAGAAGATAGAGAGACTAATGAGAAGAGGAAATGAGAAAGATTGAATAGGCGGATGAACCCCCCCCCCCCCCCCCCCATCATTGTTATGAATGAAACACAGATTTCGAGAAGAAGGAGAAGATCAGTTTTTCCGAAAACGGATTACGCATCGAGATGAAGGTGACGGATTGAAACACCTCAAAAGTGTGATATATTCCCTGATAAGATAAAACATTCGTCATTGGGAATTCGGAATATTTCCGTAGCTGGACTGCAAATATTGTGTTCGTTGGAGTCACGGATTAGCTGATTTTTGAAAAGAGAATTCAGTTGTTATGGTAACAGTGAGTTGAATGAGCTAGAAACATAAATGAAGTATTTCCTAATGAACTGAAATGAATCAGGGAAAAATTTGGAATAAATTATAATTTTAGGTGTTGTTTCAATTTCAGGTGGAATCATTGGATCATCCTACAATCCGTGCGCAATTTTGCTTCACGGAAGGCGGAAGACGCAAGACGGAATACATCTTTCCTGACGGAAGGCACAACAAAAAATCACGGATTACGGAAAGCTGAAGATGGAAGGTTAAAAATCGAGTAACTATATTTCAAAGCCGCTGAAAAAATTTCAGAAAAGTGAATTAAAATTCCAAAAATCCCACTAAATTCTAGTTCCTGTATTTGGAATTTTACCGTTGTAGCACCCATACCGTCAACTTCGAGCACACATATCTCGATTCCTGTGAAAGATGCGAAAAAATTGTCAACTAATGAAATATTGGTGATATAAAGATAAGTAATTTACCATTCTTTTTTTTCAATTCTTCCAAGTGGTCAGCTTTTCAACAAAATTTCATACTGTAGCCTTCTAAACACTACTGAAGCTCCAGAGGAATTGAATTTAGGAGGAAAAGTGATTGTAAAAAAGGAGGAAATGTTTGAAGAAGAAAACACATTCAATGAAACGGTTTTTCATGGTCGTTTCCTTCCGCCAAATCAAATGGGATGGATCGTATAATGTGTGTTTTGCAGTTTTTTTTCTTTTTGACCAGACAACCTATATGAATACTTCAACGAGTACAAATAATACTTGACAGTTTCACTGCAAAATGGAAAGAAGGGAAACGGATAGTAATTTTGAAGTTATTTGGTATTTTGGGAATGAGTCAGTTATAATGAAGGGAAAATACTGTTCTCTTTTTGAACGTATACAGAAAAAAAAATAACTGGACTGGATTGTCCCAGGCGCGGGGACTTCGTTTGGATAACAATCTGATGAGTCATACTGTACGTTCGGAAGGAATCGTTATATGGTTAAGTTTATATATTTTTTTCAGGAATTTGTTTCAAATCAATGGGAATAAATAGAAAATTTCGCTTCCTATTTTTAACCTTTTGATTTTTCAGTTTTTTAAACCCAATTTTTTCACTTCTAATTTTCTTTTCAAATTAGTTTCTTTTTTTATTCACGGTGTGATACCATAGTAAATACACCGGCTAGGAAAAAAATGAAGAGAAATTAGCTCAAAATGAAACCAAACAAAGGATATCTTTTCAATTTCTGGCCGTAGGCCGGATGATGCTATTCGGAACGTTCAAAAATGCAATAATTCAAAAAATTCCAAAAAAACATAATTGCAAATTTCCGGGCCGGCCCGCTGTTTGTATAACAGCTGATTTTTTTGAATTTTTTTTCGAAAATTTTATAATTTTTCAAAAATTTAATCAAAAACTCTTATATTTTTTGACTACCTTCTGCTTTGAAAAATTTGTAACTTGTTTTCTTTTTTGATTCAAAAAAATGCCCCAATTTTTCATTGGAAATTTTTTTTACTGAGAAAGGGCGGCCCGGCCCGGCCTGGCCCGTTGCAAGTATGGAAAAAAAAAACCAGAAATTGATAAGAAAGAAAATCGATAAGAGAAGCAAGAAAGAAGATATGTAAAAAGATGTCAATTAGATTCAGTGCTTTAGTGGTAGAAGATTACTGTAGTTTGAAAGACCCAATAGATTACTGTAGTTGGAACGTGTAGAGAATGAAATACAGTAGTTGAAATCCGAAACGTTATTGTAGTTTCAAAATGCCGAAGATTCCTGTAGTAAAGAAGTAAACGTTTTGAACTCGGAAGTTGGAAGTTTGAGTCGGTGTGCTCAAGTAGATCCTTCTCTGCTGCCAGAACGCTCAGCGCACGTATCTATTGCTATTTCATTTTCTTTCAAAATTTGATTTCGGTCATTTGGTAAAAGGGGGACGTTCAGTGATAAACACCTAGCCATGAACCCCAAACAATGGCGACCCGAGGCCTTTTAGTACTTTTTTTACTTCAATGACGTCGATCAGTCTTCGAAAAAAAAGAAATAGCAATGTGTAGCGCATCCGAAGCTTCCTGGCAGTGGGCAGCATCTTCCTTCCAGCATCAAGCATCCGACGTCGTCTTCCTTGTTGATCCTCTGCGAAACCCGGTGATCCTCGTCGAGCTTCGAAGTAGAGAGGCCAGTTGTCGCTGTAGGATCGGATCGGATTCCTTGCCATCCCAGCTGCCCTGGAACCACGTTTCAACTCGAACTCCTCATCGGCTCCTCGGTCCGACTTCTGGTTGATTTCTCCAGCTTATATAGCTCCTGTAGATCAGATCTAAAGACAAGATAAGAAATGAGCATGAAAGTTGTCAGCACACGCGGAAATTCTGATATTTTTCTAATAAAACAAACTAAAAAAGAATATGGTAGATTTACTTCGGATTACTGTAGTTTTTGACTGAAATCAAGATCAGCATCATCGCCGTAGATCAGTCACATCAGGACACCTAGAATTTAAGAATAGACAAATCAGAAATTTCGAAGTCTTTCTCAGAATATCAGAATCTCAAAATCGACATATCTCGAAACCTCAGGGTCCCAGACTTTCAGACTTTCAGAATTTCAGAATTACTGTAATTTGAAAATCTATAAGGTTACTGTAACTTAAAAAATTTATAGGGTTACTGTAGTTTTGAAATCTATAGTTACTGTAGTTTGAAAATGTAGTGGATCTTTTTATTCTATTGGAGTATATATATATACGGTAGTCTAGAAAGAACTACAACTATTTTGGCGTCCATGTTTTTGATATTCGAAATTGAAAAGATATCCTTTGTTTAGTCCTTTTTTTTCCAGGAATTTGCCTTCTTTTCCTTTAACTTGTTCTACTATATCCTTCATATTCCATTATTTATATTGAATCTTTCTAACTTTTAATGATATTTTTGTTATTGTGCACTTTGTCACACCGCGGAGTTCTTCTTGTGATCGAGATCAAATCTTATTACACTTTGTAGTAAACTTTCTTCTTTTTCTTTCTGTCACTCTGTCGAACATATATCACTTTACACCAGATTCTTCTTTCCTCTTTATTGCTCTTCGCATTTCAGTTTCTGCTCTTCCTGTGGACTTTATGTTCAGATGAGACGAATATTTTGCAACTTTCTGAACGTCTTCGTTAAGCTTTCATACTTCAAAATTTCATTTTATTGAACTTTTTAAATTTAATGTCAAAATTTAGCATTCCAGAATGCACACTATCCCAATAACCACTGATTCTGCCTCCTCATGGGATTGGCCTCTACAACACAACGATGGTGTTGTCAAAGTGACGAATACTTCTGAGAAATTCGAAGTTGGACTTGATGCTGGATTCTTCGGACCAAGCGATATTGATGTCAAAGTCAACGGATTAGAAATCATTATTCATTTGAGACATGATGTAAGTTTAGAAAATTCAAAAACATTTTGAATGTTTGAGGAACTTTCAGGACCGTCAAACCGAATACGGTATCGTTAATCGAGAGATTCATCGTACCTACAAACTCCCGGATGATGTTGATCCAGCCACAGTCAAATCTCATCTGAATTCATCTGGAGTTCTCACTATCACCGCCAAAAAACTCTAAGAAAATATGTTTGACATTCTATGAAATTTCAAGATGCAATAAATTCTGTTTGCCATATACGAATGTACAAAATAACTTTTGACATCTTCCACTTCTTACTTTGATGTTCTGAAAAATGAATTATTCGATGATAGTCTTTTTTGCGTTGTTCAATTTTTCAAAAAATAGGATTCATTAACCAAAAGGCTTTGAGATTCACAACTTTATGAAACTTCGAAAAAAGTACAATTCGATAAATGGCACAATTTGGGACGATTTCCACTTATTGGGCTGCTGCTTCCGCTGTCATTTTCGTTAAATTATCCGCATTTTTGTGGTTCTCTTCTGACGTCTTCTTTTCCTCTTCATGATAAGTTTTTGGTTCTTCTGGGAAGACTTGATCTGATTTCTCTTCTAATGTCATTCCTTCCAATTCCTCTTCGATAAGACCTTCAACATTGACAGTCTCTCTGAAAATGTAAACGAAAGGAATTCCATTTTCTTCTTTCAGGAAGACAGGTGTGTAGTTTTTTGCGTAAGCATGATGCATATATGTGGAAGATGGTCCTGAAACAATCAAATTGTTAAGATTCAGACGATAAAATCATACTTACCCATGAAGACTTTGATGCCTTTGGTTTCACGATTTGCTCTGAACCATGCTCTCAAATTGAAAATGTAATCAACCATATGAGTGAAATCTGCGTTATCCTTGCACATTTTCATCTCCACAAGCTCTCCCAACTTTTCTCCAAAATCAAAAATATCCTTCTCAACTCTCCACATGTCAAACTTCTGAAAAATGATTTTGAACAGGAGAATTTACAAAATTTGAGTACCGTAATTCCTGTAATAGAAGGGCTCCAACATTGTCAACTTTGAGCTCAATTATGTCGGCTCTTATAAGAGATATCAAAAATGTACCAACAGATAAAATGTTTATGATATTATGATAAACAATTTATTTGTTGACTACTTTTTCATAATTTGCGCAGAAAGAAAAGTTGGTCCAAAGTTGAAAGTTTGAAGGCCCTTCTATTACAGGTTTTACGGTATGTTTCTTTTAGAAACATATGACAATTTTTGATAAAAATTAAAAAATCACCTTCATTTTATACTTCCATATCACATCAATCACAGTTTTCGTTTCGTTCGATTCGGTCTCCACATTTATATAGTCGGCTCGAAATTTGAAAAACAGCTTTTCGACGAATTCAAATTTCCCATTTTCAGCTTCCATCAACACATCCCCTGTTAGATGATCCTTGAAAATTACCATTCTGGAAACATTGAACTTTAAAATATTTGAGAAGGTTTTACATTTAGAAAAAAATGGATAAAATACCGTAAAACTTGTAGTAGAAGGGAGCCATTACTTTAAATTTGAGCCTATTTATCTCGGTTCCTGTCACAGATATAAGAAAGCTGTCAACTGATAAATTGTTTATCATAATATCAAAAGTGTTTTTTCTGTAAACAGTATTTTAATAACTATCACGGTAATCGAGATAAATTAGCTCGAAGTCAAAAGTTAGGGGGACTCTATTACATGTTTTACAGTACTTCAACTTCAAGTTCTTGAAGTACTGTGAGTTTGGATTTCAAAGGCGGTTTTCCATAACAAAAGACCAGGGTCAAAATGAAAATTGAAACGACGTCTATTAAAAAATAGAATTGCGAAAAACGACATATACGATTGCCGTCTAAAGATTACAAGAGAATTCGAAAAGAGATGAAGGAAGTGGAAAGTGACGAGGAATCGTTAAAAGATCTTCTGAATGCACGTAAAACTTATTAGATTAGGGATAAATTTTGGGTTCTGAAGTTTTGGTTTTAGACTGAAATCTCAAAAAAGAAAAAGGACGCTCAAAATGAGTTTCAAACAATGCATAAAACTAAAATTTGAAAAAAAATTGTGATTCAGATTTTCTGGTGTTGCGCAGACTCGAATTATATTCTAAAAAATACAATGTTTAAAAATACAAAAGGTAAACTAAACTAGCAAAGAAACATTCTGCTTATTTTTGAATGTTGTCTGAACACGAAACATGATCTTGATTTAGATCTTGGCGCTTAAGTCTTGGATGGACTTTGGGCATGTACTCGATACGGTCAAAAGCATGATGATGCAAAATAAATAAAAGTGAATAAGATTCTTATGAGAAAAGAAAGTTAACTGAATCTCCTCCTACTGATCAGAAATAAATTTGAAAAACCACAAACTAATCAAATGAAATTTTTTCTCATTACCTAACTACAACCTTAAGTCCACCCCTCTTTTTTTTTTGATATCATGTCACTTCATTTCAGTGTCTCGTGGCCCTTAAGAGAGACACAAAAAGATAGAAAAACCGGTTCATAATTGTTTGATAAGTGATTTGTCGTTGAAATTCTGAAGGAAGATCGAACATCGAGACATGGTTCTTGAGCAGAGACATGCAGTTTTGAGTCAGATTACGTGAGAATTCCAAAGTTCTTTGGCGGAAGAAGATACAAAGACAACAAGATGGATAAAAGAGAATTTTACTGTACTAAAGGCGACAATGTAGGAATGATATTTTGATTTACCGGCGACAATAAGAGAAATTACAAAAAAAAGAGTAGTTATTTGACAAAGTACGAAATTGATAAAAATGGTTCCTGATCCGTTAGTAGTTAATCTTCATTCCCAATGATCTTCGAATGTATTTCATCTTATCTTCCGATCTCAAAATGTTGGAACAACCTGAAAAAATCAATCGTTTGACTTTGAGTATTTTGAGTTCACATACTGATAAATAGATCTGGTCGGTCGGGAATAAAAATCTGATGGAGACGCTGAAAAACTTCTTGCCATTCCATATTGGTTGCTTTGTATCCTTTGAGAGTGGCAACAAATTGTTTCTGATTGTCAAGCGACATCTGAAATGATTGATTTTTAAAAACAAAAAACTTTTATTGTTTTACTCCTTTCGTAAGTTCCGAAGTTGGAATGTTGAGAGCATTCTGGTATTTCTCCGGAAGGGTTTCGCGAGTCTGTAATTTCTCAAATCGGGATTATTTCTTCCCACATGTTCTTACCAAAAGAACCATCTTTCTCTTTTTCGGTGGTTCAGATCCGGAGACTACGTGTTGTCCAGATGAATTTCCTGGTGTTTCAGCCTTATACTTCCGCTTATTCAAATCAGAAGAACTTGATACATTTGTTTGGGAATCGTTTTCCTGCTCCCATTTCTTGACTTTCAACTCATCCTCATTCTGTGAATTTTCTGGTTTGAATATATTTTGAAGTTATATTTAGTCTCAAGAACTTTCTGGGTCTAAAAAAAAGGAAAAGTCAATGTCATATTATTATTTTCTGGCTATACATCAAAAGTTCCTTGATCTCAAGTCCCTAATTCTAACCGTGGGGAGACTGAAAACAGACGATGAAGAAGAATCGTATTTAATCGGACGTGGTTCAATCTTTTCTTTCTTCTCAATCTTCATATTCGCCGGGGAGAACATGTCTTCTAACGTAATATCCGTGATGTCATCTTTTGGATTCGAAGCGCTTTGAGATTTCACTTGTCTGAATGATTTGCAAGTCTTTGCTTGTTTCTTGATATATTCTGATTTCGAATTCTGAAACATTAAATTCGTAATTTTATAGAATATAAAAATTACCTCAATCAAGTGACCTCTTTCCTTGAAAAACCGGGCAGTTTTGAGAGCACAGTTATTAGAATCACAACGACTAATTGTGTTTCTTAACCACTTTGGAAACATTTCAGGTTTGGCAGATGCATATCGTGTATCGATCAACACAACTGTTCCAAAATCATTTTTGTGACGAAGAACACGACCAATCGCTTGATTGACTGCTCGGAAAGCTTCCATTTGATACCAATCACGAGACGATTGCGGTTCGTTTGTCTGAAAATTCAAATTTTCAGAGAAAAAGTTGAACACCCTCACCAAATCCTTTCTTCCCATTAAATCATCCAAATACATTTTCTTCAATACAACTCGCTCGTCATGAATCGGTGGATACGGGATCCCAACAATGATGACGGCTCTTGACTCTGCATCACAGAAATCGATTCCTTCTGAAACTTTTCCTCGACAAACTGCCAGTAAAGCTGCTCCGTGAGGTTCTGATACACCCTATAATCATAATAAGAAGAAGTTTTCGAAGCTTTCGAAAATCGAAAACCTGTGTATATCTCAATCGAACAGCAGCTAGTTGTTCTTTTGCTCTCGGTTCCACCGCAATTTTCTTGGTCTTCTCCATTTTTTCCCAAAAAGTTTCAGGCGAATCTGATGCTCCTCGTTTTGTTTTTTTCCACACCTCTACCAATTCGTCCATTTGTGAGTACGAGGAAAAGAAAACGAGAACTCCTTGTGGAGTCGTTTCCATGACACGAATCAGTGATTCGCCTACATCTGACACATATTCAATGTTCTTTCGATTCTGGAAAGAACCGACAAGTCCTCCATGTTTTCCACGAGTCACGATAGATGTCAAAACTGGAACTTGTTTCAAAGCATGCTCGTTTTCAAGAATAGCTCCGAAATTTCTGAAATATATATCTGAATACTGAAAAGTATACAAACCTACAGTCCCATGTTATAGGTGAATGCTTGGATGGGAGAGAGTGTTCCACTAGCAAGAAGTACATTTCGAACTCCTCGCATTTTCAACATTCGCATAGAAATTGATGCTTGAAAGCAGAAATATTTTATGACAAGTTTTCCACTATCTTTTCGGATGTACAGTTTGCAGTTACGAGCTACGGTTGCTGGATCCACGCGATCGGCAAGCTGTAAATGACTGACATTGAAACCTGAAAGTTCCCTAGTTCGCTGGCACCATGAAACTATTTTTATTAATGAAGACGATGATGTTTTCATTCTAACGAGGGAAGCTACAAAAAAGTCCTGATGTCGTCTATCAGAGATAACAAGAAACCGAAAAAACAAGGAGTACATGAGAGAACTAAGAAACTTCCAACATCAGATGCTCCAACTTTGCAGGCCAGATCACCAAAGTTTAAGGTATGCGCATACTCTGCTTCTGATAGACCTCCGTTTCAAGGTGAAACAGAAAATGAGCCGCGAGAAAATGCAGCAGAGCTCAGAGCAACGTTCCTTCAATGTGATAGATGCGAACGAGGAGGAAGATGTTAATAGAGTTTCCAGTATTCTCCTGATCCATCTCCAACAACTCTCCCAACGTATCCAGCATTCCAACTACTCACTTTGTTCCAGTTACAGTCTTTTTAGAGCTTGAGAGTGTTAGCCAGGTATTCTACAGTATTCCATAAGCCATACTCTTTCTAAACTTCCAGTTTCTCATTGCTGTTACTATCAACAAAAATATGGTTATCACAGGTGTTAAACGAGAATTAATGGCATGTTTCATGCCTGGAGATCACGTCTCTGGTATCAATGAAATCTCAATTTGGAATCGAACTCAACTAGACAAGAATTGGGCAACTATCAGAAGCAAGACTCTCAAAAAGTAAAAATTTCTGTTCTCGTTATCCGTGTTTGGAACATTTCGTGCCTGAGCAAAAATCAACTCGAACGTCTTTCTCCTTCGCTAGATGACCGTCTTCATTACTTTTCTGTTCGAATTTATTGCAACAATAGAGCAGCGGGATTGTGTTTGAGATCAGAAAAGAAGAGATTATTGACAAATAATGTGAGTGATGGAGAGGAGGTGAACTCTTGAAAATTACTGTATTATCAGGTTCGAGCTAAAACTGCAATCAGTTTCGGCCTACTTGTTGGAGATCAA